TTGGATTACTTTCCATTAATAAAGACAGATCTGAAAAGGGATCAGGAAAACAATATCATTTATAATAGCTACCCAGTTGATGAAATACTTAGGAATAAATACAACCAGAGAAACAAAAGACCAATACAAGGAAAACGACAAAACACTATTATAAGAAACCAAAAGAGACATACAAAAATGGAAGAATATACTATGCTCATGGATAGGAAGGTTTAACATTGTGAAAATATCAACACTACCTAAAGAAGTCTATAGATATAACGCAATTCCAATCCAGATCCTAAAACCATTCTTTAAAGAAAGTGAAAAACTGATCACTAGCTTTCCATGGAATTGAAAGAGACCTTGGATAAACAAAACATTACTTACAAAGAACAAGATTAGAGTTCTTTCATTTACTGATCTCAAAATCTACTACATAGCCACGGTGGGCACAGCAGTCTGGTACTGGTACAATAGATACATAGATCAACGGAACAGAATTGGGATCTCAGAAGTAAATAGATCCACATACAGTCAGCTGATCTTTGGCAAAGGGCCAAAGCACATTAAATGGAGAAAGAGATAGTTTCTTCAACAAATGGTGCTAGAAAAACTGGAAATCCATTTCCAAAAAAAAAGAGAAACAAGACCCGTATATCACACCATATTAACAAAAAAACAAACTATATACACCAAAGACCTAAATGCACAACCTAGAACTATAAAGATCACAAATGAAAAAAATAGGGACAAGCTTAGGGGCTCTGATACATGGCATGAATACACTTAAACATAACTAAACCACACACAAACAATAGACAAAAAATAGATGGGTGGGACCATTAGAGAGACACAATTCAAAACAATGACATATCATCTAATCCCAGCATTAAGAACAGAGTTAAAAAAAGCCAGAAAACAGCACATTCTGGTGAGACTGTGGAGAAATTAGGACCCTCCTACACTGCTGGTGGGACTGCAAAATGGTGCAAGCACTGTGGAAAATGGCACATATCACTTCCTCAAAATGTTAGAAATAGAAATACCATATGACCCAGCAAACCCTCTGGTATTGCTGGGTCATATGGTATATAGCCCTAAGAAATAAGAGCCAGGACATGAATCGATATATGCACACCCATGTTCATCACAGCACTAATCATGACAGCAAAAAAGATGGAGGCAGCCTAACTGCCCATCAATGGAAGAATGGAGAAACAAACTTTGGTACATACACACAATGGAATACTACATAATAACGATGAATCTGTGAATTATTTCATACCAAGGATGAACCTGGAGGACACAATGCTGAATGAAATTAGTCAATCATAAAAGAACAAATATTGAATGAAACCACTATTGTAAAACCTCAACTCTCAAGGGGCACCGTGGTCAATGGCATGATATAGTCCACACAGACACCTTACTTTGGCGAGAGCAGTGACTGGCATCTAAGTGAGCGGCATCTAAGTGAGCGGCCATCTAAGGTGCAATTATTGACGTCTCCATATAAGCAAGAAAGAAGAGTGATGAGAATTGATGATGCTTGGAATCAAGTAGTCCAATGGACTAATGGAATATGTGAACATCAGTCACCATGACTCTGAGACCAGAAGAACTAGATGATGCCTGCCTGGTTATTGAAAGGGATCATATTAGAAGGTCCCAGATAGAGTGGGAGAAAATGTGGAGCAAAACACAAAATTATAAAATAGACTGGGCTTATTGATCAGAGAGAGATTGGAGGAACTCAAGACTATGGCCCTTTTCCACCCTCAAGTCTGGAACGGAACTCAGCCCATGGCCCAACTTTTATACAAGGAGTAGTTAGATATACAGGAGCTCTGGTAGCGTAGTGGTTATGAATCGGGCTGCGAACCTTAAGGTCAGCGGTTCGAAACTACCAGTCGCTCCGCGGGAGAAAGATGAGGTTTTCTACTCCCGTAAAGATTTTCACCCTCGGAAACCCTGTACAGGGTCGCTATGGGTCGGAACCGACTCGATGGCACTTAACAACAACAACAACAAGTTAGATATACAGTGAGAACAACCACACTAGGAAGGTCGGCTCACCATGGAATGGTCAACATTGAAGATAAAAAAGGGCAACATGGACCTAAGGGCAAAGTTGAGAAGGAATGGAAAGGAGGATGGACTGGGAATCAGAAGCACAGGGAGGAAGCAGGACAACCGTTGTTGCAGGGAGGGGATGGCAATCATTGAGATGAAACAAAGTGTATGATTTGTTGAATGTAAAATTGATGATGTTGTCTGTAACTCTTCTCTCAATTCACAATGAAAAGTTGCAAAAAAAAGAGAAAAAGACAAAACCCTAAACAAAAATTCCACCCACAAACAAATTTTAAAAGTGTATGCCCCAAATACATTAAAATTAGATACAAAACAATTTCTGAAATGTAAAATGAAAAATCAGCAAGATTTCCTTGGAAGAGATGGAAGTAGAAATAAGGATGCAGAAAGTTGTTGTTAAGTGCCGGTGAGTTGATTCTGACTCCTAGTGACCCTGTACAGGATTTCCAAGGAGACACTGGTGGGTTTGAACCACCAATCTTGTGGTTCAAACTGACCTTACGGTCCAGTGCTTTATCCCACAGCAGCACAGCAGGGCTCCATGCAGAAGGTTGTTTTTGTTGTTAAGTGCTGTAGAGTCGGTTCCGACCCATAGAGACCCTGTATAGGGTTTCCGAGGAGTGACTGGTGAGCTTGAACTGCTGACCTTGCAGTTCAAAAGGCTTTGCAATCTGGCCCATTAACCCACAGCACCACACTAGGACTCCATGTGAGAAATGTCACCTGGTTGTGAGACAACAGAATCGCTGACTTTTCATCTTCATCAAACTTTCATACGTTGGACATGTTATCAGGAGGGACAAGTCCCTAAAGAAGGTAAAATGGAGGGTCAGTGAAATAGAGGAAGACCCTCAATGAGAGGATCGACACAGTGGCAGCAGCAATGGGCTCAAACGTAGCAACAGTTGTGAAAATGGTACACGACCCTGCAGTGTTTTGTCTGTTGTGCATAAGGTCACTATGAGTCAGAAGCTAATCAATGGCATGTAAAAAACAACAGTTTGATAAGACATGTGGCCTGAGCTGTAATGCCTTACATGGTGGCTATGTGGCGCTGTAGGATAAGCACTGGAGTGCTAACCACAAGGTCAGTCCACCAGTAGCTCTTTGGAAACCCTATACTAATTATTCAATGACATCAGTTGTGGTTTTTCATAATGTGTTAGCATTCTCTTTAATTGCATCTGGCTGTTTGGCTGGTATTTATTTACTTTTGCCAATGCTAAATCGTAGCTGAAAAGTACAAAGGATTCTGAACCCTCCCACTGAAACACAAGCACCCTTAGGCAGGGTTTTTGTCTGCATTGTTCACTATTACATCCTGTTGTTAAGTGCTTTGGATTTTGAAATACAGGCATTGCAAAGATAAGGATAAATATCTCCTTTGAAGCCAAGCCATCGCATGGGTAGACAGAAGCACTGAAATGTGTCTAAGCCAACTTTTCGTGAATTATTTTCTTTGGGACAACTTGTCCACTGGCCCAGACTCAAAGCTCAAACATTCTCCCAGAACCAGCAACTAGACCGGCAGGTGCATAAATGGATATGGAGGTCCGAGCCTGTGTTTTCTCAGCTTGGGTCAGACAGGGTTCCAGGGACGTTGGCATTACTGGCTGTAACCCCCAGAGTCCAACAACAAGGGGTCCAGTGCCTAGTGTAAGAACGGGAAAAGTACCTATTGGGTGGAAAAGTTGCTGAGCTACAGCTCTTTGAATAGAGAACACACCAGCCTGTTAGCGCCTGAATCACCTTTCCCTAAGTGGTTGGAAGAGCCCTGGGTCTTCACCTCTAGAAGGCTCTGGAGCTCAGAGGAAGTGAAGACTGGTAAGAGTCAATGTGGGAGAGAGAGAGTGTGTTTGTGGTGGTGGTCCCTGTAACTAGACATCTGGTCACCATTCAATAAATAAGATGGACAAACTCACCAGTGCCTGGATGTCTGGAAGCTGTGGACTCTGCAGATGTAAAGGAAACAGGAGATTAGCTTAATCATAAAAACCAGGAGGAGAAAGTGGTTTAATCCTTTCATGACCAAAACATTTTCTGCTTACATTTTTAATTTTTTACTGATAGCATGCATTGTAAGTAATGGCAGGCATCCTGAATCCAGGAAAAAAACGTTTTTTAAGGTCAGATGAATTTTGATATACTTGTGTGGGACACATATATACTAAGTGGACTCCAGTGGTAGGATTTCTTCAGATTCGCACCTGAGAGGCTGGAAATGCAGGGGGGTGCTATCTGTCCCACAGACCACAAAGGGATTAAAGATGGCAGGCAATGCATTTATGAGGGTATTTGGCAGCTCCAGGTTGGCCAAGCACTAACCTGAGCAGATGACCCCAGCGTCTTCTTGGTGCCCACAGTTGTGGGTGAACCAGCCGCCATGTGGACACTGCTCCAGGGTGGACTCCTTTCCTGTGCACTTGACATCGTCAAGGAGAATGCTCCCTACCCCGGGGCTGAAGCTGGACCCTGGGAGGGCGGACACAGCAAGGCCACAACCCAGCTGCCTGCAGACCACATGGGCATCCTCGATGGACCAGCTGTCATCACACACGGTGCCCCAGGTATCAGCATGGTAGACCTCCACACGGCCGTCACACCTGCTGGACCCATTCACCAGCCGCAGGCTCAGACCTGGTGGACATTCCAGAGAAGCCCCTTTGTCAAGTCTTCCCCAGAAAGGCCCCCAGCTGAAGCAGCTCTTTCCTGGAAGTTGAATACCACAGTGGGGAGTAACAAACTTATTCTTTTGATTGACTCTTTGTCATGGCACCACTCAGAGTGTATTTCAAAGTCAAGGTTGGTCAAGAAGTGGCTGAGCTCTTTGGCCAGCGGGACCAGCAATCTGGGTACCATATAGCTAGTGATCCCTCTCTCCATCACTGGGAGTCATGAAACCTTGCTTTCTGACATCCCTTGGGTTTACACATGCTCATACGAGGTGCTGTGTGTGTGTGTAAGATTCTCTGCAGGCCTTGTATATATTGATAAAGTGATATTAGCAACAGCATCCAGTCTATTTTGTTCCCACGATCAGGAGCAACGCCGTGTGTAAAGATGCTGTGAGCAATATGAGGGACGTCCATAAGGGCTGCCCCATGTTCAAAGTGCAGTGTTGTATAAGGAAGCAGGAAATGTACATGCTTGGAGCACAGCCATAGTTAGCTCTAAGGTGGAGCTGAGGGCAGAACTGGGATCATCAGTATCCTCCAGTCTTTCTGGTTATTGGTCTCCATGACTAGCCTACATCAGTTATTCTTGCATCTCACAGCCTCTCCTTTCCTTTCCCTTTCCAATCACAGAATTTTCAGGGGAACACAGCACTATCAGACTTTCCTCTAGCATGAAGTTTGTGAAGGTCTGGGGAACTGGGCAGCGTTTCCAGCAGGGACATCTTCTCTCATAGTAATGCTAGAGTGATTCTAAGAAAAAATGCTAAGAAAGAAAGGCATATTAAGATAGAAAAAGGTTACCTGTTGCGGTGGGCATCTCCATTGGCTTTGAAAAAGATGCTGTGGACAGACAGAAAGCAAAAATAGAAAATGATCCACCCTCTTGGTTAAGTGTTAAACTCTCAGCCAACTGTCAGTGGACTATCCACTTTGTGGATGATCTATACCCAGTTTCTGATTCTAAGTCAGGTTCCTGTCCCAGAGTCTTCCTCTGGAGGTGCTCCTCTCTTCTTCCCATCAGTGCGTGAACAGGGAGGTCAATGGGTACAAGCTCAGGAGAAGTAGAGCACAGTGGCTCATTGAGAACATCTTCCAGGGGACCACTTGCTGTTCAGTGTAACCAACCCGGAGCCTCCTTTGATGGTTTGGGATCATTTTCTTTTTTCCCACCTCTTCTCACCATATTGTATTTCACTGATGAAAACCCTACTGTAGGAGAGCTATTGACCTAATTTGAAATGTGACATCTATTAGATCATTCATGAAGTCAGATAAAGACTAAAGAGTGATGCTTTCAGTATCTCCATTTGATACAAATCTGTCAAACAGAACATGGAACAGAGCTAAGTCCCTCTAGTGGGTTAGAAGACAATGGGCAGCATTGAAATAGTGTGCCCCACATGGCAAGCAGGGTACTAGCCACTCAACAAAGAGAAGCCCATCGAGCCCAATGCAGCTTTAGGAGGTAGATACTATTACCACCACCCCCCCCCATCCTCATGCAGAGGAGGAAACTGAGGCAGGAGTGATTCAGCAGTTTGCTCAAGTTCTCACAGTAAGTATGAGCTAGGATGACAAATCTAGGGCATTGGGCCCCTAAATCACTGCCCAGAATGACTTTGCCATAGCGAGTCACAGTTCACCAATGAAGAGTAGCTGGAAATTACCTGAAGTTGGGTAACTTCCAACAGCTGATAGCGTTGAGTGAGGCAGAGCTTCTATGAAAGAGATAAAAGAAATGATGTGGGTGGATCATCTCCCTTCATTTTTCTTAAACCTGAGAGGAAACTTGCACATCTGAGTCAGAAAGATACAAAGTTTTGTTCTGGGGATAAAGCACTCACAACATAGACACCCGTTTAAGAGTGGTCTGAGTAACCACAGTTTCAGCCACCAGATGTCCTGGATCTACAGGCTCATCTCAGTCCTATTGCCAGATATGGAAATGTCTTCTTCTTGCTGTTTTGGGTCAGTTGTGGCGATTGACTTGACCAACAACTGTTGGCCAGTAGTGATGATGGCCTTGGTTTTGGCACCTGTCTTGCCAGTTAGTTTGGTTTTGTAATTCTTCTGGAATGGGTGATTTGAGGTGGTGCACCTTCTGTTTTAGAGTCCTGGTGTGGCGCTGTGGGATAAAGCACTGGACCACAAGGTTGGTTTGAACCACAAGGTTTGAAGTTCAAACCCACCAGCCGGTCCTTAAAAACCATATACAGGGTTGCTATGAGTCGGAAACAACTCGACAACACTTAACAACAATAACAACCTTCTATTTTAAGGTTGATTCCTATTTTCTAGCAGAACGTAACGATTTATTTTTAGTTCCATTTCTAAAAGGATCTTTTTAGATATGCATGGATGTGAATGGACTAGATTAGATAGCTCCTTGTTTATTTTCATTTTAAGCACTTTCACATCTCTCACGGCTACTGTGTTTATTTCATGTCTTGTCTATTTGTGACAAGTGATCCTGGCTTCCATTTATGCTGGTGACAGAAAATGGCCTTGTAAAATATAAATTAACAGTCCACTTAAAGGAAGATACAGTGGTAAAAGCACTCAGCTAGTGTGAACCAATAGGTCGGGAGTTCCAACCCACCAGCTGCTTTGCAGGAGATAGATGTGGCAGTTTGCTTCTATTAAGATAAAACAACAACAACAGCAAAATCCCAAACAAAACCCCACTGCTGTGGAGTCAAGTCCAACACATAGTGACTAAAAGGACAGAGTAGAATAGCTTCATAGTATTTCTGAGGTTATCCATGTTTACATGGAGTCCTGGTGTGGCGCTGTGGGTTAATGTGTCCCACTGCAAAGTCGTCTGAACTGCAAGGTCGGTGGTTCAAGCTCACCAGCTGCTCCTTGGAAACCCTATACAGGGGCGATATGGGTCAGAACCAACTCGATGGCACTTAACAACAACAACAATATCTTTATGGGAGCAGATGGCCTTCTCTTTCTCCCACAGAGTGGTTGGTGGGTTTGAACTGTAAAACTCACAGCAGCCCAACACTTAACCCACTGCATCACCAGGGACCCTTCTGTAATGACAGCTTTGGAAACCCTATGGGGCAGTCCTACTCTGTCCTCTAGAGTTATTGTGAATTGGAATGGACTCGGGAACAATGAACTTTTTCGCTCTGTTTTGTTTTGCAGACAATTATAGCAGGGCCGTGTGGAACCAAGGCAGGACTGTGCAGGGGAGACAGTGGGTAGACCGTGCAGGACCCCTTTCAGCCCCCTGCGATTTTCCTAGTGCCCTCGGTTCTGGATAGTGTAGAGGGTCAGCATAAGAGAGGAGGGCCCTGGACAACATGGATCCACGCAGTGGCTGCAACAACGGACTCAAGCTGAAGGATTGTGAGGATGGCGCAGGGCAGGTTCTGTTGTACCTGGGGTCGCTAACAACAACCACAACTAGGCTCAGTTGGGCGGGGTACTCGCGGATGCCCTGCTTCTGGGCCCACCTGAGCAGATGACGCTGGCGTCTTCATGGTGGCCGCAGTTGTGGGCGAGCCAGCCGCTGTGCAGACACTGCCACAGCCGGACCTCATTCCCCACACATTCCACGTCGTCCAAGGCAATGGGGCCCCGGCCGCGGTCGAAGTGCGCCCACCCGAAGGCCGACACCGCCCCGCCGCAGCCCAGCTGCCGACACACCACCTGGGCATCGCGAAGGTCCCAGCTGTCATCACACACGGTCCCCCACGTGCCATTGTAGAGCAGCTCCACCCTGCCCTCACACCGGTGGCTGCCGTTGCTCAGCCGGAGGGCCACATCTGGGGGTGAAGACACAGGTCCCTGCTCTGGGCCGGTGCCTGTCACCAGGGTGTTAGAGGGAGGTGTGGGCATTTGCTCAGCGTTAACTGCTGCGGGGGCTCCAACCCTTACACTTGGGGAGGGAAGCATTGTGTGAGATAAAGCAAGTTATAGGGGTACTTGGTTGGGGCTTAACTTCTCACATTGAACTCTTCCCCTAGACTAATGGCCTATTTTCTGGGGACCCAATGGAAAGCGCTAAGTCTACAAACACTGGTTGTTGTCGAATCACATCTTCACACCACGTGCAAAGAAGCCACACACAAGTTTTGCATGGCTCCAGGTAGTGTAAACCAAGTGTCTGCTGGGCTGTGTGAAGTCCCTCTAATCTCCGAAAAAAAAAAGGAATATAGGAGCACCACCAATGGGTGGTGTATCCCACCCATTTCTTCGAGTCATAGCTTGGGAGTAAACTGGGGATATCGGAGACCCCTTTAGTCCTTTGAAGTCCCTAGTGTCGACTTGACTGAGTCTGCCTTTCAACCTAGTTATCATTCCCAACATACTACTGGTGAAGCGCTGTAGGATCAGCACTCAACTTCGAACCACAAGGCTCACAGTTCAAACCCACCTGCTGCTCTTTGGAACCCCTACACAGGGTTGCTGTGGGTCAGAACTGACTTAACAGCACTTAGCAACAGCAATGACCATTCCCAAGCAGGGGCTGAAATGGTCAAACACGTACCTTTATCGTTTTTATCTGGCATCAGAGACTCATAGGACGCATAGAAGCCCGTGTTGGTGATGATCGCGTCACTGTGGAACACCACCGTCATGTGGTTTGAGGAAGAGGTAAAGATTGGGGCTGTACCAGAGCAGAACCTCCCCAGAGAAAAAGATTCACTTTGTGGGCCGTCGAAGATTTCAATGAAGTCATACGGACAACCATAGAAATTTTCCATTCTGTGGAGGGAAACGATACTATTCAGACTCAACCCACTGGGGCTCCTCCTACCCAGTAAACATTGCACAGATTAGTTCGGAAGGGTTTTGAGAAAGCTATCTGAAATCTAATTGGGTCCGAAAAGATACCCAGTTACCTGAGGAGTATGTAGCTCTTGTCTCTAAAAATCTTTAGACTAAATCTAAAGTTTTCCATCAATTGTATTTTCTATCTAGGTTTCACCGGCACAAGCAACTGACTTTAAGCCAACAGCAGTAACAATGGTTATGCAGTGAGAAGTCCATTTCTTCCCCACTTTGGTCTAGGTCCTCTTTCACTTAACTCCCCTTCTAGAAGTTTCTTTCCATTTTCTCGGGAGCTAGTCCTTGAGCAGATGGTGCTGCGCTATGCCCATTGTCCAGGGTTTTTAATAGATCATTCCAAAGTGTGACAGTCACACATGAATGTACCAAAATGGAATGAATGGCTTCCCTCCCAACCTCTGTAAAAATGCTATCATGGCCATTCTATGGGTACATGAGACAAAATTCCTGGAACAGGGATTGCTGGGTTTAAAGACCTTTGCATTTAAACTTTTGGACAATATTGCTGAATGAGCCTCCAAAGGCCTACTTTGCTTCTTAGAATTAAATATGGAATAGTTGTGCTTTGGGGCGAGGGTGGGTGGTGGGTGGGAGAGTCAGTAAAACTGGTGTGTGTAACTGAGTTAAAGATGACAGTAAAAATAGGAACTGCTTACTCACTTCACCACTTCCAATGTGAGTTTGACATGGGCTCTGGAATCCACTTGTATGTCCCAGGCACACACCACATTTGTGGGGTAGTTTTTTGGGTACCAAGGGCTGGAGAAGGAGCCTGAGTTATTTGTCAGCAAGCCACCACACTGGAAATTTTCATCTGCAAAAAACATTGGAGAAGTCCCATCAGAAGATGACGCTGTCATTCCGAGGGGCTGGTGTTGTTAGAAGGACTCAGCAGTAGAGTAAGGGGCAAGTAGGGAAGCTTGGTTCTAGGACAGTTTTTATTGAGGACTGAAAAAACTAGTTTTGGAGATTTCCCTGAGCCCCCACTGCTGTCCTTTTGAAGATAACAATCGCGACACATGTCCTCGGACGATTTTTGTGAGGAGAGAATGACAGTGACGGTTTACAAGTGTGTGAAAGTGCTCCATGAATCTGAGTATGCAGATGAGTCTGAAAAGCGAGTCGGAAAGGAGTGCAGACAATACAAGTCCAAGAATCCTTTCTCAGCATGGCAGCTGTGGTGGCTTGGTGGTAGAATTCTTGTTTTCCATGTGGGAGACCTGGGTTTGATTCCTGGCAAAGGCACTTCTTGGAGCCACCTTTTTATCAGTGGTGGCTTGCATATTGCTATGATGCTGAGTGGGTTTCCGAGAAGCTTTCAGAATAAGAAAGGACAAGGAAGAAAGACCTAGCAATCTACTTTAGAAAATCAGCCGGTGGACTTCATGAATCACAGCAGTCTGCATCTGAAACCCATCATCGTGATGGCGAAGGGCCAGACAGGGTTTCTTTCTGTTGTGCATTGGGTTGCCATGCAGTTCTGGTAGCGTAGTGGTTACGAATCAGGCTGCTAACCTCAGGGTCAGCAGTTCTAAACTTCTAGCTGTTCCGTGGAAGAAAGATGAGGCTTTTTGCTCCCGTAAAGATTTATAGCCTCGGGAACCCTGTGCAGGGTCGCTATGAGTCAGAACTGACTCTGCGGTACATAACAACAACAACAACGCAGTTATGTTATGTACAAATCCTAACTGAAATCAAGAGCAGGATTGCATACAGCACCCAGTTTCTGTGTGCGGCATTGGATTCGCTGTAGAATTTGCCACAAGTCCTTCTGTGCTGTAGTTTCTCAGAGAAAAGGAAAAAAGAGCTTAGTAAAAACACAGTACCTGCCATAAGGATGTCACCACTGGAGCCTGAAAATACAAAGAAATAGGGATACCATGAGCCAAGACTTTTATACAGATTATTCCTTTGAAATACTAAAAAATATTGACATTCAAAAATACTGAAATCAGAAGAAAGGATTTCCCCACGCCCCGATGGGCAGAGAGGACAACTGAATACCCTTGTTAAGTGCTTTCCCGGGGATTTCCATTCCCCGCTTCCTCCAGAAATAGTTACATGCCCATCTCCACAAGTAGAAACCCCTTCTTCACAGCATATACCGATCTGGGAGCCCCAGTGCCTGAAGACGGCATTGCTGGTGAATCTAAATGTCCTTCCCTCCTACCTCTCTTCTGCTCTGTGCTGCCTCCAGCACCATCTCTTGTCAGCCCCAATGGATCGCATTGCTCTGTTCATTAGCAACAGAGAATTTTCACTGGACTGGGCCCCAACCTCAGATCAAAGAGTAGCCAGGACTCACACATACCTGGCAACTAGTTGAAATGTACAGAAAAGCAATACCTGTTGGTCCCTTTGGGTTGCCATCAGCATCTATTTAAAGACAGAAGAGAGAATGAGAGATGGATTGAGCAAGGCAATCACATAGTTTATTTAAAAAAAAAAATCAGTCACTTTTTTTGTCATGATCAAAAATAATCTCTCCTGGGTAGCTGGGAAATTTGGGTCAGTACCCATCAACATTAGTTAAGACTGGCAGCCTACTTCAGTGGCCCCTGAGTGAGGGAGCCTGCTTTGTTTCCCTGACTCACAATGGTGCAAATGATACATGGTATACAGTATGGAGTCCTGGTATGGCACAATGGGATAAAGCACTGGACTTCAAGGTTGGTTTGGATCATAAGGTCGGTGGTTCAAACTCACCAGCCGCTCTTTGGAAACCCAATCTAGGGTCATTATGAGTTGGAACTGACCCGATGGTATGTAATAACCACTAGAGTCAATCCTTAAGTATTCAGTTTACTGGGTGAACCAAGGTTTAGTAACAGAAGAGGAATAGTCACTCAGAGCTGAACACAGGCTTTAAGAATGCATCATGGAGAGGCAATAATATTCAGTGAGTATGGCTCTGTGCCTATTCCCTGGTATGTCATCAAGAAAATGAGGATGAGAATAGTATCTGTCCCATCCATCTGTCAGTTTGGTGAACTATTGCAGTTTGCATGTTGCTGTGATGCTGGGAGCTCTGCTACTGATATTTCATATGTCAACAGGGTCACCCATGTGCTGAGGGTTCAGCAGAGCTTCCAGACAAAGGTAATCTACTTCTGAAAATTAGCCAATGAAATCACTATGGATTGCAACAGAATATTGTCTGATATCATGCTGGAAGTTTGGAAAGCACTACCCAACAACCACAGTGTTAGACTCAGATGCTGGACTGGTATGATGGCACAGCACTGGGCAAGGGTTCCTTCTGTGACCCATTCATACAATGTCGCCGTGAACTGGAGCCCACTCAGTGGTGATCAACAACAACATGACTGTGTCCTTCACAAAGAGGCTGATGAGAGAATGAATGCACTGGCTTCAGCAGAGCAGGGCTCATGTTAAGCTTCCTCCAGACACCAGCTAAAGAGCTCTGGTAGCACAGTGGGTAGGACTCAGGCTGCTAACCTCAAGGTCAGCAGTTCAAAAAGACTAGCTGTTCTGTGGGAGAAAGATGAGGCTTTCTGCTCCCAGAAACCATATACAGGGCCACTAGATCACTACGAGTTAGATTCAACTCCATGGCTCTCCAAATCCACCAGCTGCTCCTCAAAAACCCTCTATAAGTTTGTTATGAGTTGGAACCAATTTGATGGTATTTATGAGTTGGAATGAACTTAGTGATACACACCATCACCACCACCCAGCTCCTGTTCATTATTTCAGGATGTTTTTTAAACTCTCAAAAGTATCCCAATTGGATAAGTTATATGTTCATCCAAGTCATAAGCCACTGGGAGCTAAGGAATGACTTTCCCCCATATCTTGCTAGCATCAAAGGGGGCTGTAAGTGTTGGATGGTGTTTGTACTGAATTCTGTTTGTGCTGAATTCTGTTGAAGTCTGTACTGAAGTCTGAGCTGGGTGCTGCAGTTTGAAGATAATTTTTTGTTTTCCAAGAAGGATTTTTTTCTTGTTATGATTGTACTGATGTAACTTATCATGGATTTCTGGTGTGGTGTCTTAGGATAAGCACTTGACCTCAAGGTTGGTTTGAACTGTAAGGTCGG